ATCACAGCCCAGCAGTCGCAGTCAAAATAATCCCGCTGTGAAGGGGTTAAAAACCTTGGACAGCGGGTATCAAATAAACATGTTTACATGAACATCAGTCAGGGTTCAATGTGTCAAGACCCCCCAAAATTCAAAGACTTTTTAATGACTTCCATAATCATTATGTGCAATTCTACTATGCTGGCAAGATGCTCGATTGTGATTAGATCACGCTTCTTTGACGTGACACTGTGGAGCTTTGACATAACAGTAAAAACTCTCTGCGATTCGCAGATCGGCGCGCTTAATGCAAAATATCTAAACATGTCTTGAAAAACGCAACACAATTATAAAATAGAAGATGTAAAAGATGACAAATCAATGACTTGATTCACCTTTCTACGAACATTTCATGACTTTTCCAGGAACTTCATGACCACGATAAAATCTAAAGATTTTTAAGGAATTTAATGTCCTCTATGAACCCTGTTCGTTCTAAGTGTCTACATCCTGGCAAAATCCAAAACATACATACTAAAACTGTCGTTTTCAGATTTTCTGAACTTGCAGTTTGACGCAGCTTTTGTCACTCTGCATTTATGGGACAATATAACAGAACTGCTGACTCTTGTGATGCATATACATGTACATTTATTGACATGAAAGTGACGTAAAGGGCTGTGTCAAGTGGCACAAGTTATTGAAGTAAACTGTGACAAAAGTATTCCTTTGCAGTAATTCATCAAATTATTCATGACTGGACTCGTTGAAACTCTTATAAAAGGACTTGTGACTGGACTCGACTACTGTCCCTGAAGCACTATCTTTTTTAATAAAGGATCGTGACACAACTTCATCTAAACTCAATTCCAATGTCTAACTTACTTGTGACGTATGTACAACATGGTTAGCTTCAAGCTGGATAGGGAAGGCTACCCCAAGCTCAGATTGGAAGGAGGACATCGGTGACAGGGTGCCTGATGTCAGAATGATAGAACGCACTTCCTCCCCAAAATCACTGAAGGCCTAGACACAGGAAAGAAGAAATAAGAATAAGGCCTGTTCAGGTATTACCTTGCATTCACCCCAAGAATATCAAAGATTTCATGGATTTCTTAAAGAAATTATTTCAACTGTGAAGACTTGAAAGCTCGCCAGGTTTGTCTTGCGCTACCAGTCTTCTCTTTTAACTTCTGCAAAGCACGTACATCATGAATATGCATGTTATGACTGAGAGACTTACTGAGGGAATTGCATATTCATTACGTAACATCATGCATATTATAATGCCAGTCATGTCACTCTTATAATACAAGTACCACAGAAGTCAATTTAAAAGTGGAATGAGAGTTGTTTCAAAGCAGACACAAATGGATCTAATGACAGACGCTATCGGGCTACCTGAAATCTACCAAACACCGGTACCTGGTTTTGCTGTTCGTTAATAAATTGCTTTAAACAAGGGCTTGCTGTCACAATATTGTGTGAAAAAAGGGACTACTGGTTCGCCATGGGCTGATGTAAACTAAAATGAAATTATATCTTATCTAAATTCATTAAGTAACTTTACAGAAAGGAATCCAAGTTAGATGCACAATATACTTACAACTGCTGGGTTTAGGCACCAGAAATTCAAAGTCACTGTCCAAGACTGGTCTGAAGCTGGTAAGCAAGACAGAAAATAACTTCATTCATGCACAGACACCCGTGAAGTTTTCAAGGTTTAACCACCATTTTTGATGATTTTTAAAAATGAATGAGTGAAGTGCTAAGTATCATCAGTACAAAAAATGAGAACAACTCAGTCTTTTGGTTGAAATCAAACATGAGGTCCTTTAGTACTCTTTCAACATCAAGGAGGCAGAAGGGGGGTCAACTTACATCTTCGTTTGCTAATCCAGCGGTTATCCTGAGATAAAAAGAATGGAATATGAAAATGAATTCGATATGCGTAAAGTTGTCCTGGCTCAAGTTGTGCAAAATGACATCAGATATTACTTTAACCCTATGATGTCAGTCCAACGGTTTAAAGCAATTTGTCAAATGTGTAGGGTTGTGTATTTTCATAAGCCTCACGCGACTGTGTTGTGAAATGCCACCGTGATATTGCAGTTACGTATTTTAACTCACCGTCTTTTGGAATCGGCTTGTTTTGGCGACGGTCCTGACAATCGCCACCCTGTCAATGAGAAATCCGGTCTTTAGTTTTCCTGTAAATTGTCCATCTACATTTAAGAAGCCCTAGTGCCTTCCCAAAGCTGACGGATACACAACTTCAATGATTCCCACTATTATTTTGTGGACATGTATCTATAATTATTATTATTTATTTCTGGTAATGACACCGAGAATTCCTTAAAAGTGCCCTAGGCACTGTAGCTTACAAGCCTGAAGAATCCTGTAGAGAGGAGACAATGAGAAGCAGTTACAATTTTAGAGGTGGGAGGGAAACCACAGAGGAATGTTCTGGGTAAAACTCAAGGAATCAGGTAGGGACTGAAACCTAATCCACATGTGGATCAAGCCAGGATTCGGACCTGGACTGCAGACATAGAAGCGTGGAAGGCGAGGAAAGAACCGCTACGTATAAGAACCACCTAACCTAAGATGTCCCCTCAATAAAATGTCAGGCAGGGCATATGTACAAAAACACATTAAAATATGAACACTCCTTTGTTTATGTGTAAGTATATAAAACTTTTAGAAAATATCAATTTTTCTCACACTATATATATAGTCTTTTACGTTTGACATTTATTGACAATTTCTTTGTTGCTCCTTTTCATTTTGCTGCCAGAAACCATAATCAAAAATAATGGGTATAAATACTTAAATTTGACAAAGGTTAAAGGTCATAAGGACCAGTGATATGCTGGCCAGTCATCTGACTCTGCATGTGACCTGACTGAGGCATTGTACGAAGGACCCAAACGTCTACTTTCACTTACTTGAAGTCTTTTGTGTACTTCATCTCATCCTTGAACAGAAATCCAAACATCAGGAAGAGTCCCTTTAATGTCATGGCGGCGCCGGAACTGAGGGTCACGCCGTTCTCTTGTTCCTTCTTCATGGGTTCGGCTTCTTCCACAACAGCTGCAAGGTGATGCTTTAAAGGGGAATGTACGGGAAAAAAAACTATGTCAGAATGCTGAAGCCCACCCACGCAAATGACTGAAATCTGGAAATTGGAAGGATGAACACTTGCCAAGGTAGAGTCTAAGACAATTTCCAAAAAGGTGGAAAATTTATGTTATTTGTTCTCCTTCTAAATAAACGCCAGCTTTGGAAACAAGTCCCGCTTTGAGTAAAGGATAAAGGATGCAAACTGGATCATTCGTCGTGTTTCATGAAACTCAGTTCCCTGCAAGATGAAAATTCTTAAGCAATACTGTTTGATTCCAAAGAGTCGGTATAGCCATTCTCGGTGAAGGGTGCTTAGTGACAAATATGATGAAAAAGTGATTGTAATAGTCCTCAATTTTAATATTTTTTGTGAGCTGGAAGGTGGTCCTGCGTGGGGCGCGCATCAGCTCTTGCCTTTTTTCCAGCGGCCAGCAAAAGTATACAGCCAGGGACGTATGATAAAATCTCGGTAACTCGATAAGTCGAAAGATCGTTTTATGTCGTAGGTCGACTATTTCTTGCCAAAAGAATAGGCTTTTATTTTTAACAAAATATCTCTGTAACTGTCCACAACATTACATCCGGTTATCTCATGGTTTTGTAATGCCAATCCAAAACAAACTTCAAAAATGAAAAATCCACCGCAAGACCTTCGTTTGAGTCATCACATTGGAACCGCCTGTGTTGCATGCATGCTGAACGTGGCATGGCACACACACACTGCACGCATCCAGGGATCGCGCAAACCCAGTTTTCAGGGTTGCCTGACCGCTACCGAAGACCCATTCATGGACATTCCAATCGCTGACTCTTTCCGATAACTATGTGACCTAAGAAAGAGTTGTCAGCAGAAAACCCAAGTGAGAAAACCCCAAAATTTTGTGGCATGTTTACACTGAACACGATCACCGAAAAGACGACAGATCTGCCACACGAGGGCGCACCATTGAAACGGTTGATTTTTATTGTAATGGTAGAAAGAAATCTTTAGGTTACAACAATAAAACAATCGTAGTAAAATAATTATCTGTCTGCAAAAAATTCACCATGATATTGAATAAACTAAAGCAGGAAAATAATCACTGAAGAATCTTGCCATAGGACAAGTCAAGTTTAAGATTACGTACACATTTCATGTACGTGTTTCATGACTCCATGACTTGGGCAATTCCGTTAATAACTCAAAATCCAGAATCTCAAATTTTTATTTATTCTCCAAGTTTCAAGTTATCAGTTGTAAATGGCAACCAACAAAAACATGACTGCGCAGCCTTCACGTGGTAGGCATAGCCCAGCTGCAGTTTTTGCGACTGATGTTATTTTGTTTAAGCTGCCTGGCGTATAAGCTGCAGCGACATTTTTCAGCATGAGAATCAACGAATAATCCGTGGCTTATATTCCAAAAATTACGGTAATATTGAAATTGATGCACTGGGAAATTTGGGTGGATTCTGGAAATTGGCATCAAAGATCAGGGATCTCTTGTTCTACAGACCAGAGATGGTTTTGAGGAAAATCTCTCCACCTGATGTTGCAGAAAACCTTGGCAATTTAAGTTTGCAGATATTCAGGCCCAAATTTAGGGTCCCTTTTATTTCAGGAACAGTATTTGTAATTTGACACAATAAACATAACTTGCATATATGTGGAGGCACCATACATCTAAAATAAACAAGTGTTGATATTAACATTAACATTTAACATTTAGTTAACATTTATTAACATTTAGTTTCTAAGCACACTGTAATTTGTTTTGTAACTTTGGTTGCATAAAAAATTCTGAAAAAAATTCACCCTCAAAAAATAATGAACCAATTGTCCCAAATGTAACACTGCTTCTGGTCACACACGTTAAATTCCTTTTTTTTTGCTGCATTAAAAGTGAGAAAATTGAACCAAGATAACTTGAGCCATATATTAGGGCTATGTGTAATCTCCCTACCTATAGATGTAAACAGCTTTGGAGCTCTGCCAATTCACAGAGTTTACAAAATGAAATTGTGAGTTACATATTTGCAATCGTCTGATGTCACACACGTAACAGTTATGTTACTTCCTGTAGAATGAAACTTTTGGATAAATTTGGAAAGAATGATTAAACCACGATACAAGTTGTCCTCTTCAGCTGACTACTGTGCTGCACAATTCAGAAGTACTCAGAAACAAAAATGTATTTAACGAAATACGCATCAAAAATGCTTCCAAATGTCACACACGTTCCACGAGAATGGCCCTCTATTGTTTTTTTCCAAGTGCCCAGAAAACATCTACAAGAACGACTCTCTTTAAACATGGCTTTGTTTCTTTAACTGAGCAATTCCACACTGGATTAAAGTGAAAAAAGCAAGAACAAAACTTTTAACAATCTCCAAATTTGAGCACCTAACTGCCAAAGGATTCAAACCGTTTTTGTCTTTTTGGTTAGGTTACCTGAAATGTCCCCAGTGTATCCTTGGTGATGCCTAGACCAGTGAGAACATCGTTGACTATCTGTGCCCCCGACCATACATGCAAAGCTCTCTCAAAGTCTCGCTGTGTCAGGTTTGTGGAATGACTTTTGACCCAGTCCAGTAATGCAGCACTCTGAGCAAACAAATAATATTAAAGTGTGTAAAACAGACCAATCCAATCTAAGTAACACAATGCATATTTTAGCCATCGATGGATCAAGGGGTGTCCAACTGGGGCCATATTCCCCCCCAGCCCCTCAAGAATAAACAATTTCTGTGTTGAAAAATACCGAGAAAAGGGCAATTTTTTAAAAATAGTTCACTTCTCTTTTCTTCCAAAAGCATGAAGCACGCCCTTAATTTTAGCTTCACCTTTAAGAAAGGTCATAAAGGGCGACTTGAAGAGCTGTCTTAACCCCCCCCAAGTGTGGTTCTGGAACCATCCTTTGTTCCGGTCATGTGTGTCCTATGTGCCTGCCCATAGGTTGGACTTGTGCGCATAAATGTTGGAAATAAATCACAGCTATGATTGGTAGGAACAGAACACCACTTGGCCTAAGGTCTATCGTTTAATGTCTAAGGACACTACTTCTTTTTGGCCGTAGAGTCAAATATGTCAAGAAAAACGTGACATTATTTCAGTCACTCAAATGCTATCTTTCACATGAACCTGCGTCACAATGATGTAGTGTGCCCTGCACGGATAAATCTTACAGTAAAGCAATTCTGCAACATCTCAGTCTCAAAGATGACATTTCAGTGCTTCAATTGTTTATTGCAAATTTTCATTTTTGTTTTGATTTACTGACAGGGCCTAAAAGAGCAGTGGACTGGCGTCACATCAAACGTTTTCAACACCCTCCCAGACAATCTCTTTTTAATTCAGTAAATGCATGGAAGTCCTTTTGCAGAATGAAAACAACAAGATGTGACTACCAGTAAATGTTTGACACTGCATTTTCCAATGCATTATTTGGTTCATTCCAGAAATTAGAGGTCCATTTTTTCGTGTCCCTGTCACATTTGACTTATGATTTTGTAAGTTGAGAACACATTTTCTAATTCCCAAGAGTGATGAATTAATGCAGATTACCAGCCAAATGAATAGTAATTGTTTAAAATCAATTCAGGTGATATCGTCATGTCAAATAACAAGGTCAGATGTAACAGGGACACAAAAATGTCACACTTATGGATGCATTATTTCTGGAATTACCTTTTACATGATTTGAGATGCTCTGATATGTTGCATTATTTGTGGGGGAAACTTACCACAGTATGCATGACTCGACAGTGGAATTCCCGCCACTGATGTTTAACTTAAAGAAAAGAAAAAAAATCCAAAAATGAAATTTCATGGCAAATCCACAATCATTCCATTAACTTTTGCCCTCGGGCTCTGCACAGAATTTGGCCGAGAATGGAACTTCTTAGTTGAAAATAAAATGAATGTCGAAATTGTCCATTACACGATACTCCTTTCATAACCTTTTCTTTGCTCGGCAAAATGAGACATCTGCGTGTTTAGTACCAGAATGCAATTTAGCATGGACCTTAACTCTCACATCATGCAAAATGATCACACAAAGGTTTGTGTGTCATTACACAATTTTGAGAAATGGATCTCGGAGTAAGCAAAACTTATACCAGTGAAACAGAGAATGTTGGAAGAGTGTCAGGCTGCATTTTGTTTCAAAACCAAACTTGAAGGCACAGTTCAACCATGTCCTAGTTTGAATGTGAGATGGTTTCCAGACAACAGTCCTGAAATAAACTTGATTTGGAACAGAAAAACTCCCAAAACACTAGTTGTGTTTCCAACTATAATGCAAACATATTAAGGTGGATGGGTCTAAAGGTAGAAAAGGTTTTGGGGAAGCTCTAATATTTTTAGCCCAACTTTGGGTTAGGATGATTCTCTATCTTGGGGGTGTGTTTGAGCACTAAATTTGCAACTATTTGTATACTATGTTTATTCAGGGATGGTTGTGGGTACGCAAGAGTAAGCCGACCAGAACTGACCAGCTGAAATAAAAATCCCAAAAAATTCAACAAATTAAAATACATGCCAACACACATGAAACGTAGGCTCAGTTTTTAAAATGTTCACCTTTTTTTTCAATAAAATGGTGCAGTGGCTGTGTGATTTATTCAGTTGGTCCAGATAACAACAGAAAGCACACCCATTTTTTTATTTGATCTGACGGACATACTTCGACTTACTGTGGCTATCTAGCTCAGCAACAGTTTCTTCCATCTGGTCAGCTGTAACGCTACAGCTGGCTGCGTCCCGAGCCGAATCCTCAATGTTATGAGCCTCGTCCAGGATGACAATCTGATTCTTCAAGTTGATGTCCATCTGGGAAGTAAGGAACGTGGGCAGGCCACTCACAGTGAAAATTCGGGAGGTACCAAGTACATGGTCAGTTTATGCATAAGCAAAACACTGATGGTACTGCTTCAGACCTTCCTGAGAACTTTTCTACAAACATCATCTCTGAGAGAGTGTCTTTTGACGTCTATACAAATTGTCTTTAAGACAAATGCATTAAAAAAAAATGCTTTGACAGAGCTTTAAAAGGCCTGCAATGGTGCAAATGACCAATTCTTTGCTCGGTGGCAAATGATTACTTTTATTTATGATATAAAGGGTTGTGCACTGCAGAAATGCTGTGCATACAGCATCTGTGAGCTCCACATAATATTATCACAACAAAGAAAGAGCTTCAGCTAACATTTGCCGCTACACACTGCGCTCAAGTGAGGATCCTGTGGTTTGTTCATATTCATATGAAAGTCACCCTTACACTACAACAGCACATCCACAAACTGGAACACGCAGAGTGCACAGTTGTCGCTGCTTGATAACGGAGTGTTCATGTCCACTTAGACTTTCCATGGAATGATTTTGCAAATAAAGAACGTGAACAGTATTGCAGCAAAGCATTTTTTTCAGGGGGCGGGGTGTGTTGACCTACCGTCATTCTAATCATGGGATCAACTAGGTAGTTATATGGACAGAAGACAATGTCTGCCTCGTCTTTGAGGGATCGCACCGCAAAATAAGGACAGGCCTGCAAGTCAACAAAATCATGAATAGATGATACACAACTTTGGGGTCTCTGTCAAACACTTTGCTACCCACGTGTATTTGGACTTGAATCAAGTCGGACTTACGTTGCTGCTCCCTTGTCAGCCATCCCGTCAGCCTGTACGCACTACACGGTCGTTGCGTTCGGCCCGGCAATTCGCATAACCCTTATAAGGCGCCCTCATTTGATAGCCTTTATTGTACAATGTGTGTCGTACGTCACCAGTCAGTAAGTCCGACTTGATGGATAAGCCAATCGGACCCCCCTCGGTGATATGTAGTTATTCATATGAACGACATGATATTGTATAATATGTACCAAATTTCCAACAATCAAAGTAGTCAGACTTGTTCATTCTAATGCAGGTATGAACGACATACAAACAAGTCAGGAAATGTGATTGGCTGCTACCACTTTTGGTAGATGAGCCCATTTGCTGTGTACAAACGGTTAGCAGAATCGTCAAGTCGGGATTTCTGAACTGAACTCATAGTAATAAGTGGACACAAGAGGGTGCCAAGCGAGTAACATTGCATGGTCTCGATACATATCCAAAGCAGAAACGAAGACATCACAGAGATCCCGACTTTAGTCAAGTCTAAAGTATATTCGAATTTTGGGATGCATATTTTTAAAAATGTTTTATTTTAACATACATGCATGCCGTGTAATTTGAAGAATCCATAATATGCTGCACCCCATATATTTGCCTCGCAAGTCAACATCCGTGACTATGCAACAGTTTATTTGAAATGATGCTTTAAAACTGCTGCTTTATCCAGTCAGCGAGATCAACACAAATTCATGAACAAGGGGATTTTTCAATAACTGCAGCAACCCGTGTCAGTGACAATACGGAGAAGTTGTCAGCTCTGGTTTTGAAGGTATACAATGGCCCACAGCTACGTGTGATTCCTATGTAATGAAGTCTGGTCTATCTGGTTAATTTGCAAGTAACTTGTTTCCTGCTTAGCAGGTCAGTGGAGCAAGTCATCAAGAGATTGGAATTCTCTGTGACA